CAGTATATGTATATATATACTGTATATAAAGCTTGAGAAGGTTTGAAATACACAAACATGAAACTTCCAAGTGCACCCACACAATCATTCCCATGGTGAACAGGGACACATAAAAAATGCTCCGAAAAAAGCTGCCACTGGCCACGGCGTGGTCCTCTCTGCATCATGCTTTTCACCCACATCCGCTTTCTAAAAAGCATGAGGTCAACAGCTTCCTTTATTCTCTCTCACTTTCACACTCAGGTCCATCACAAATTCACTGCTCCCTTCACCGCGTCTGGAGCCAATTCCAGTTGAACACTCGCTCTTCAACCAAATGCTCCAATCTCAACCCTCCCTGCAGAACGTTCACTCCGCATAATTTCTGCTTCTTACGTGATCCAAGCCTTTTAACTGCATTTGCTGTTGAATACCCTATAAGCATACAGTGGCCTCGTGAACTGCACGAGGATCGGTTGACAGAGAGGAGCGTGACGCTTCAAGGACCCTCCACATAAAAGCTTCCTTTATGAAGGAGTCTATTCCTTTGTCTGTGTGCATCACGACCCAGGCTTCTATTTTTGCACCGGAGATTGGACAAATGAAATTGCATATTTGCCTCGTGAGGCAAGACTCCCTGAGGACTGCAGAGAGACCACACCGTCTCTGCTTCCTGGTCACATGACTCCGGGTGAGCCTGGAAACCAGAGACCTAAACACCCCCGATGACTTCTCCTTTCCGCTTCACAATAAAAATATATCCGCTGACAAGAAGTGAGGTTAAACTTGGGGCAACTTCTTCATAAACCAGCAAATATCGCTTCTCAGAACTGTCAGAGAATTGTGATTTGAAGAGCTTTAAAACTCATCAGTTTTAACACAGCAAATTCTTATTTCTTGGAATAGTGAATATTATTGCATCATGGATTTCATTTGTTGCATCTATGTTTAAAAATGTAAATGTTAGATAATATCTACAAACCTTTAGGCAGCCAACAGCCATATAAGGCTCCTACTCTATAAACAAATAAAAATAGGGAAGTTGTTCTAACTCTGCATTTATTGTCAGTGACTCTGTAGACTGATTTATGACATCCTGCTTTCAAAACAGTGGCTTTGTGAGAGGAAATCATATCTTTCTTGCATAAACTGCTGAGCTTTGTTGCGTTGGTGTTTTCCCCAGAATGGTGACAAGCAGCGCAGGAGGGAGTGCGGGGCTTTGAATCAGTATGCCTCTAGGTTGAATACGTTTTTTTTCCCACACTGACTGTACATTTCACACACATCTGGAATGGGATAACAGGGAGCCATAAAAGTGCAGCATGTAGTGACTTCTCCACAAGAAAAGGTTTTAGTAGGACTGTGCTGTAAAAAAAAATAAAAAAAACACACACACAAAAGGGAAGAAAAAAACAGAGCATAGGGTAAATAAATGTTGACTATCTGTTTGGACGTGTGTGTGCATGTGTGTGTGTGTGACTTGCACTGAAGTAAGTCAGCTCTAAGCTATTGGACCTTTGGCATTCATCTCCTTTGTCTCCAGCTGGGACGGAGTGTTCCACTCAACTCATCCCCTCCCCATCCTCGTCCCCTGGCCAAAACACTCTCCTATTTCATCACCATCGCCACTACTGCTTTTACTGCTGCTGGTAGTGGGGGCTAAAGCTGCTGAWGCAGAAGACTCAGCGCGTGTACGCAATAAAGAAAAAAAAAGTGCCAGTAGGGGTGACATGTAAACATGCACACTCAGGTAAGAAAAAAAGTAGATTAGATTTTGCAAGTATGATTATCATCACTTTATATTTGGTACTGAAAATATTCAGTGCAAAGCTCTGTTTGGACCAAAACGTATGCGCCTCTTCAAACTGAAAATACACAAATAACTTGAACTGGTGCAAAGAGTGAAACAAAACTCTCACCAAAGTTTGCTATTTTGGAAGAACTAGATGGCTAAATCTGACACAGTGTTCCTACACTCACTTTAGCTTAAATTATATTAAGCCTACATTGTAGCCTACGCAGCAGGCGCATGCTGTTGTGAGCCTTTCTACTTGTATTTTGGTTTGACAGCTGTTCTGCATTTACACTGTAAAAATACCAATGTTTTTGCAGCTGTGTTTAAATTCTTCATGTACATCAGATAATGCTGACAAACCAATAATGCAGAATACGTTTGATTTGGAATTGATGAATATGAAATTAGTTCACCTGCCTGTAGGGCTGCCACAAACGATTATTTTTATAATCGATTAATCACTGATTATTATTTTCGATTAGTCGACAAATCAGATCATACGTTAATTGAATATAAAACATACAGCTTATCACGCCAGAATGCAGCTGCTGTTATATAATCATCGTTAGATTTTAGCTATATGCTAACTAAAAATAATTGCTGTGGAAGGCAAGTTCTGCTCTGCAGATATTGTACAGGTTTCTCCTTCATTTTCTTAAAATGATCCCACACTTTTGAGCTCTGTTGCTGGGTAGCCATGATACCAGAGCCTGTCTGTATAATGTCTTATGACGTCCGCGGCCTACCCCAGTTACCACTGCTGTGCATGTGTGTCAAGGACAGAAAGGCAGATGTGGCAGTGGAAGGTGTCAAAGCAGTTTGGAGAGAAAAAAAAAAGAACAACAACAACAACAACAAAAAGAAAATTTATCGATTATTAAATTAGTCATCGATTATTTTAATAATCGATTAGTCATCGATTAATCGATTAATCGTTGCAGCCCTACCCGCATGCATAAATGTGGTTAGAGAGCACCTGCACAATTAAACACTGTAGTTTGAATCAACATTATTTTTTCCAATTAAATATCTGGTTAATTTGATTTTAATTTTTACATGTAGGCAATTACATTTTCATGAAGGCGACTCAAAGTAGCTTCATTCTCACAGCGAGAGATTATTTTTACCTCGTGAACAAACACAAACCGTCTCTTTCACAGACTGTACGCTTGGTGAGGATGAAGAGAGTTTACAGATGAGTTGTTTCCTGATTGTGCATGTCCCATCTGAACTGGAGCACGGTGACCTGAGGTGGACTCTCAGTCTTGTGTGGATTGTATAACAGCTCAAACAGCCCCAATTTCAAACCCTTTCCCACTAAGATTAAAGCAGGGACTTATTCTTTGATTCGTTTTTGTACTAGAGTTCATTTTCAAACAGCCAACCATAGGAATCAAATGACTGATTACTCAACACACTGACATAGTCTCAGACAGGCATATGTGAAGAGGTCTACAGCTCCCTTAGAGTAATCTCACTCTTAACCAAAGAATGTGACCTCCGTCTGAGTTTAAAGCTAAATGCTCACTGGATACGGGCTGCTGGGACCACTGAAGCATCTTGCACATAACTGAGCAGGCTAAAATGCCAGCTCTTGCGCAAAAGGTGAGATTATTCACTGGTGAGCTGAAAGACAAGACCAGATCAAGGACTGAGTCTTACCGTTTGTTCAGCACCATGTTTCCCAGCTTGAGGTCTCTATGCACAATGTTTTTCTACAGACGGGGGAAAAAAGAAAGAAGGAAAAAAGAAAATACGGTCATGTTGCGCTCAGTGAATCACTGGTACAATAAGTTCGTTTCTGGGAGTGGCACACAAGCTTGGGAAATGAGTAATCAGAAAAATGTGGAAATAAACAATAACAAAATCCTGTTCTCCTTCAGTTAACCAAAAATCTCTGCAGAATGAAAGCTTTCTCCATTGAAGAAAAACTAAAGAGGACAAGCAGAACGAAGACGCTTTTAGAGGAGAGCAGTTTTCTAGGGCTGGTCCGTCAACGTGCACCTCTGACTTACTTTATGAAGGGCCTCCACCACACGCACCACATCGTAGAAAATGATAATGGCTTCACGTTCACTCAGTCGTTTCTCCTTTATGACATAATGCTGGAGATTAATCAGGTCGGCTGTCTTGTCGCTGAAATCGTGGGCACACAGGCAGTCCAGTACGAGGCAAATTCGCTTCTTCATCTTGCGGACTTTGTTGGCCTCCGTGTCCTCCACTATTTCATAGGCCCGATCCTGGGGGAAAACGAGCAGAACCAAGGGTGAGAAACAAATTTTGAGAGGACAGAATCGTTTGTGCATTTCTGTCAGCATCCAATCGATACACAGCGAGGTGTCCACAAATGAATCAAACAGAGTGGATTCATTCTCTGAATTAAGGGATCGAGCACATATTTTCCACATCAGAAAGGCGTGTTAAGGATAGAGGTCATTGTTCCACAGTCTGCGTGTAGCTGACATGAGTAAGACGTTTGTCCAATCACACTAAGTGGTTCAAAAAAAAAGATGAAAGGTCATTCCTATTTTTCAAACTCAACTGGAGTCCCCTTTTTTTCTTATTGATTTTTGCATCATGTTGATGTTTTGTTTCGTTAGATGCAGTCAGCATCTCTGAAAGACTATAATATGAACTGGTTCTCTGACAGTGGYGTTCCAATATAATATTCTAATCAATACTGCAAGCCTGAATGATTCAGGCTGCGTGGCTCAATGCTGCTATTCTGAGAGTGAAATGGACAGGATGTGAACGAAAGACAAAGAGTAAGAGGGCTGATGGAACAATAACAAAGTTAGAAAAGGCAGATGGGATGGCAGGTGGGGGTGTGCCATTATGAATGGATGAGGCTGTGAACAAAGAACGACTGCAGRTAAATATAGCTTTTAATAATATTTCCACATTTCTTTATCTTTTTAAGCCATTTCAGCAGAAAGCAGAACTGAATACTAGTTTCATAATTTCTTCATCATCAGTAGCCTGGTAAAAACCAGAACCTGTCCTTCACTTTGCTTCATACAAGGGTCTGGACTTGCTGCATAGAGAAGCAATTCTTGCAGGAGGCGTGGCCTCTGCTGAAGCATGTGTGTGTTTTTGCTGTGACGGAGGCTAAGCTAAGAAGCTAACCAGAAATCGCATGTGCTGTAAACAACCCTACTGAGAGGAGAGGAGTACTGAGCCGAACGAGACGACTGTAAGTGAGAGCTGCTGCTTTGTCAGACAAATTTATTTTAATTTGGAAGCCTTTTCAACACAGACTGGCTTCATTCACTTCCTCCATTGCAGTATGCTAAAATAACTAGCAGACACTTGCGCAGAAAGTCGACGTTCTGTTCTCTGATTGGCCCAGCTAAAAATCTGCCAGTGAAATCCTTGTCTATGGGAGAAGTCCCAGACGAAGCAGTGAAGGGAAACTAGAATTGAGCAGAGCTGCGTAGGAACGCAAGGGCCAGGCTACATCATCAGTGACTTTTTTTAAAAAAGAAAAAGAAAGAGAAGAAAAAAGTGAAATGTAATGGGAAAGAGTGAACGAGAGATTAGAAGATATGTGAAATATATATCGAGAAGACACAAGACAACACACACGACATCTTGGCTGCACACCTACAGAAACAGAGATAACAAAAACAGAAACAAAAAAATGCACATGTATATAATAATAATAATGATTTTAACCTTGCTGATATATATATCCTGGGTTTTCTGGTTGGTCACTGTTTGAATGGTATGTATAGATACGTGTATGTGTGTAGGTATGGGTATACGTATACCCATACCTACATTCACATATCTATACATACACATACCATTCAAACAGTGACCAACCAGAAAACCCAGGATTTAAACACCTGTTTGTGTGCAGTTGAGAGCATGCATGTATATACAAGATCTCTCCAATGGAATGCTTCCACATTGCTACTGAAACTATCTGGATAAGGAAAGTTAACAACAGCTGGCTTGACTAACAGTGAGCTGATAAGACTGTGTTGTTTCTTGCAGGAGTACAGAGAAAATTTACTGTAAAGTGAAAATTAGGTGGCAGAAACGTATCCAAAAGGGATTCCATTTCAAATCGGTCTTGTTGCACACAATTATCTAYACTGTGCTGAGTAATACACCAGAAACTATGATACACTCTTGTTTTTTTTTTTCATCCAAAACATTATTTTCTCAAAAACATATAGCAACTATCTGCTTACCTGGAAGAGGCCGTGATGGTGCACCACCCCATCCTGGTTGTGCAACAGAGAAAGCAAAGAATATTCTGTGTGCAGAAGCATCTTCCCCTGTCTCTCCTCCTGGGTCTCCCCTGCAGAGTCTACTCGCTCCTCCAGTGTCAGGATCTGACAACAGAGCAAACGTTAGGCCATGAGATTAAAAAAAAATTATTTGTAAAGAGGACAAAATAAGAGCTTTGACCATGTGGTAAAGAGATAATCTTAAATTATCATCTGAAAAGAATTTGGAAAAAAAAAAGATGTGGACATGGCTAAGCAGAAGAGAACTGAATCAACGTGAGTTGATTTTTGAGGTATACTTGTTTCTTCTCCTTTTCTACCCTATTATTGCTTTAGAGGCCTCTACACTGTGAAAAAAACGCTGCCTGGCTAATGTTCTGTTGTTTGTGCCAGACTTGAAAGAGGGGCAATAAAATGTACACCAAAAAGGGTCAAAGGTTCAAAGGTCCAATGGGACGTTAGAGCCTTTGTTTTGACTGATTTGCTTTATTAAGAAAAAAAAAAAGAAGTAAGAAGTACATAAAGAGGTAAGCGAAATAAAAACAAAGTGCTGATCCTGATGGACTTACTTTGAGCTGATAAAAGTCATCTGTGCCATCTTTTCTGGCCAAACACTGAACTATGCTCGGCACCGGTGAGTTGCCCAGGCGAGGTCCTGCAGGGCAAAGAGAACGAACAGCTGCATGACCAAAAGGCAGTGTAAACGCCTGCACGTGTGCTCTCGCAGTAAAAGGCTGCATGTGCATTTACCCATTAACACCACAAATGCAATGTTTATTCTTGGCACCAGGCAATGCAAATAGGTGAATGCAAACAGGGGAAGTTTTTTGGGCAGAAAATAAACACATTTCAAWCTATGACAGAGAAAAACATTTCCAGAGGGAAGGAAAAAAACAACTTGTCCTAACACAGACCTTTCTGGCCAGTGTAATGGGGATCAGCAAAATTCCTCAAATTTTTGTGTCAGGCACAAAATACTCACATAGGCACCCACCACTCACACAAGGTTTTCCCAAATTTCATGCACGGCAGGTTACACACGATAACACAGGTTGCCATTCACTTATTAAAACATGCCTTTTCTTCTAAATATATTGATTAAACTCTTATTGGTAAAATGATGAGCGAGAAGTAAATTTCATACCAAGGACAAATGGGCCAGCTCTCTTGGCGTTACTGCCAGATATCCCAGGACAATGCAGTTTGCTGGCTCTGCCCGATGTCTCTCCAGCTCCCCTCTCTGAAGAACGTCGCTTGGACATCCTGGAGCTCTGCAGGGAAACAAATCTGATTAGTTCATGGGCTAAATATAGTTGAGTCCAAACGACTGAAGAGAAATTCTAATGCTTGACAAAAAAAAAGTACTGTCAGTAATCTGGAATCAAGGCAATGGATAAACAGGCGTCAGTAGTGTTTAGAAATAACAYGCAGACTGGTTTTGGGGACACTGTTCTAAGGGAGGTAAAGTTCAGGGCAGCTCCGCCCAGCCCATTTTAAATATCCCTCCCCTCACATTTACACACCTCTGTGTTAATGGGAAGCCATTACAGTTCCATTTAGAATAATGGCTGCTGGTGTCAAGGGTAACACCAAAGATTCAATCTCTTTAACAGGCAACGTGTAAGGGACACAATCTGTAATTTAAAATGCAGCACACTTGCATGCAAACTGACGGCACAAGCACAAGATTCGTTCAACAGAAGCCTTTTGATTTGAATCTTTAATCCATAGCTTTCCCTAAATCAGTGGTCACGGGCTTAGAGACGCAATGGGACTAAATCTGCACGATTTATCTCAAAATCTGCACAAAATTTGTCCAGACAGCTTATCTCTGTAGATCTTACTCGGAAAGGGAATGTAAAAAATACCAAGCCTTTGCATGACGATGGGAAAGGACATTTGCATGCCAGAAGAACTGGTGACAGTGTGACACATTGTCATTAAATGCATTACTTAAGCTGACGCGACGGATCTCATTTACCTCCCAGAAATCAGAGAGCGAGAGGTATGCCATGTTTACTGATACTGAGATCTTATTATGTGATGAAATGCCATCTGTTTCCCGTAATGGGGAAGTAGAGCCATGAACCGAGAGGAATGATTCACCCTGTTGCTGTCCCAAGTTTTTATTGGGCAGAAATGCCTAAATGTCTGACGTGATAACCTTTAGGGTCCTGACAGACCCCTAACCAAAAAAATTATTTCAAGACTCAGTTTATAGAATCATGCAAGTAAAATAATAAAAATATAAAAAGTGACCTATCTAAAAATATGTCAAGGATAGCTGAAGTGGGCAAAATTTTTGTTATGGTGATTCATACTTATAAAGTGCAAGTCATCACATCCCACAAAAAAAATAAAGATGTTGAAAAGTCAACACATAAAAAAACAAGTATCTCATAAATTCAACTCAAACAATTGTTTTTAAATCAATAAACAATATCTCTGCTACTAAACCAATCATGTGCAGCTCGCCAGTTGGCATTTTTGGGCACAGACAAGGCAGGACAGTTGGCAGCCGGTAAGGGCTAGTATGAATTCTCACTTCCACAAGGCTTTTTGTGATCCCAGACAGCAGACAGTGTCATCATCGTGTCTCTCGCCCATCTGTCTCCATCTCCACTAGTCATCACCCACTGAGTCTGATGAGTTGAGGTTTTCTGACAGCATTAATGGCACAAGGCAGAGTGACACCAAGTCACGCTGCTAATAGTAAGAGAGTGTCACACTTCAGAGGATACAAAAAGGTGGATAATCAGGTAATGCAATTCACAAAGCTCCTGGATGGGGGAATAGATGTTTTTTTTTTTTTACGCAGATCGTGTAGCTTATTGTGCTGCCAGAAAAATACATCTAAATTGTTAGCTTGGTGCAAGGAAGGCAGCTTGACTGACTCATTCACGTAAAATGATACAAACACACAGCAAACAAACCCAAGGCTATCCATCTACCGAATAAAAACCAGCTGCAGTGTTGGCAGAAGACCCCAAACACATACAAAAAGCAAAAGGTCGAYGTAACCAACGACTGCACATTGACCTAAATGACATCAGCTTGATGACAGCACACAGCTATCCTTTTCTGACACCGCTGTGTGTCTCTGCACAGCCACTGGTCTGGCAAGCAAGACTGCCTCTCTGACTGTACCAGAGGGAGGACAAGAACAGATACAGCCTCTGAATCATATCACACACACACACACACACACACAAACACACAAAAAAAGGAGGAGAGACACGCTTTGCCAGTGCCCACGAGAAATGTGGGAGCCTCAAATAGTATCAGAACAAAACAACAACGTAGGTGTCTCAAGATCCACCCACCCAGACTTCGTGCCATTTGTCTGGCTCTGCAAGAAAGGGTTTGACTGACTGACTGAAATAAATAAATAAAATCATGGGGTATAAGCAGCAAGGAAAATAAAAAATATCCACAGATCTTCACTTTTTATATAGAGATTATCAAAGGTAATAATGAATCCACAAGTGGAATAATCAAGAACACACACAGAGAGAGAGAGAGAGAGAGAGAGAGAGAGAGAGAGAGAGAGAGAGAAAAGAAACAGTTTGAACACCATCACATTTATTTATTTATTTTTACAGATCACTGGGGCTGCAGGACACACACCACTGCAATAAGAACGCCCTTGACCAAACGACCACGCTTTGGACACAAGGTCACGTTGTAAACCAGATGAAAGTTTTTCTAAATGCAAGCTGCCAGAGACCTGTTTGCATGGTGCCACTTTTTTATTTTTTTCGTCCACAGGATCTGGACACTTTGTTCTGACAGCAAGCAGAGTAAACTCGTGCAGTAAAACGCTGACGTTACGCCTTGTTGCAACTTGGGACACAGCAGATCAGCACTTAAATAGAAAACGGCTCATTTATTATGCATCAGCAGAAAGCTATGCGACTTGTCTTTAACAAACGCTGCACCCAGTGCACCCTTGTGTGCGTTCATTACTGACTTGGCGTCTTGTTGATAAACATAATTAGTTGTCTTATTCGCTTAATAAGACGACAGTGGAGCTAATTCAACTCATCGGCTAAACAGCTTCGGGCTTAGTAGTCACACAAAGGGACACACACAAGTAGTTGGGCTTTCAGTGCAACCTGAATAAAGAACCCTTAGTAAAATTACGTCTACTTCGAGTGTACTCCCGGGTACCCGAAAGGTTTTAAATGTATTTGGTGGCGAGTGACATTAGCTAACGCAAAGCTTGAATCTGTAGCAGGGCAGCCGGGGGARGCCATTTAAACAAAGTAGGTATTACAGCTGGCTAGCAGTGAGTGTCAGAAAGCCTCGCTTACCTCGAGCCAAAACCGCCGGGTAAAATCTGCGTTGACGCCTTAAAACACAGACATTTCTTGGATGAACGCCGTGGTGGGTGTACGGAGCTTCTCGCTTAGTCAGAAAAAGACCRCAAAGGCTCGCTTACGGGTTGTTTAGCCTCTATTGCTGATATGAGCAATTAAGGAAAAGCCTCCGCGGCTCGCTGATCGCATCTTTCCACAGCGACAGCGCCACCTGACAACGGAAATGACGCACAAAGCACATTTGATTGACGGTCCAGATCGACCAATGGTAACCGTCGTTTCTCCGGCCTAACAGTTCCGCCCCGATGATGAAATTCTTTGCATAATAAAAGTTGCTAAATGAAACCATGACATCATGGTAGTCGCGTTGTAAATTTTTTAATACTTGAAAGCTWTTTTTTTACGAGCTGCAATGAAAATATTTGCAAATTCGCACAGACGAGAAGGAAATATCAGATGCAAATACTTTGGAAGGAATAGCTCTGCTCCAAGAAACTTCTCTTTGATGSAGCTATTAACTCCCCCATGAATCAAACCACAAAATTGCAAAAAATCATAGCTAAGACTTACAATGACTGGTCACATAGGCAAGCATTTATGATAACAGAACAAATGTCACTATCAGCTGGAAATAAATTAAAGCTGGTGAAAAATTAAACAATAAGAATTAATAAAATTGTCTTAAAATCACAACAAAATGCACAACAACCACCATGAATCTAAAAATAAAGTAAGGTCATTTATGTTYTTGGTGATTTTGTACTTTTTCCAGATTCAAATTGCTTGCTTTCGTGTGAAGATGCAAGTCTGTGCCCACAGAGGCCTGCTAGTTTCTTATCTGTCCATGACAAAAAATTGTTTTATCACTAAAAATATCAAAACATTTTGCAATTTGAGACTAACCTCAGCAACACTTTTCTGTTTTATAATTTCAGTGCAATATATATATATATTTTTTTTTTTTCCACTTTTATCTGTAAAATCATAGTTAAAAAGTTGAAGCTGATATTTGAAATGCAGCACATCTAAGCAACTTTTTAAATGAGATACAATATTGCCCCTCAATTAGGGTAACTATGAGTCAGTGAAACTCTTTTGTAACTTTATTTGATTTAATACATTATATATCATTGAAACTGAATGTTCACGGGGTGCTACATGAGTGTTTAAATTAGTTTGCTCAGATTTGATGCAGTTTTCTTCATCACAAAACAGCCCAGACCTCACCAAAAATGTCATTCTCTTTCTTCATGACTTTGCAAGCAAACCTTGGAGTGGCTGACATTTTGCAGAGCCCACCTAAATTCCTAATTTAGGCTAACTGAATAATCTTAATATCCACCCACAGCTACCAGTTTCCAACTAGTGGGACGATGTGACAGACAGAGAGGCCAACTTAAATGGCAGAGCATTATTTTGAGTTGTTCTAGTCTTCCCGTCTTGACTCAGCAGAGCATATGCCCCCAGCCACATAAAACACAACCAGGTTGTGGCTTTTACAGTGTCCTACCGGCACCCTTTTAAAGAGGAAACTGAATCATTTCGAAAATGGAGGTTCTGTGAGAGAAACATCCGACACGTCAGGAGAAAAACCAAGTCTTGTGTAATTTAGTTGATGGCAATTACAACTTGTCTTTTAAAAGAGGCTTTTCACTTTGTTGTAAATATGTGTTTGAGAAATTGTATAATCACACTGGAAAAAAAAACCTATTTAAGTACATTTGAAAAGATTCAGGACGCAAAAATGTTCTTTGAGCTGAATTGTATAGGTCTTGCAGGAAACCTGGTTTCTGTTTGTTTTGTAATTAGACTGTATCCTCGGGGCACTAAGTCTCTCTTTTTGAGAGATTATTGGGAAGAACTCACCAGAATCCTCCTTCTTCTCCTGCCCCCAAATCAATTCAGAGAAGTGTCTCAGCATGTTTGCTGCTGTGGTATGCACTGTGTGGCTGACTGGAGAAGTGCAGACAAGCTTATTTTGACTCATAGGCTTTTTACACACAAAATAGTGTCTGTTAGAGATCATTGCTGCTGTGGCAAGTCTCACCATATGAGTTGAAGGTAGACGATACTGAGCCGTGTGTTTCTTTTTCTGCGATTTGATTGTTAAATATTAAATTTACTAATTTTGTTTTGCAAACTATGACATTTGCATTAGAAAAGAAAAAACAAGACAAAACTACACATTTGTCACCTTTTGCTTGAGCAGAAGTACAAGAAGCTCAGTGGTTCATCAAAAAAACATTTTAAACCAAAGTTCAGTAGCAAAACTGTAAGAAATGAGACAGCTCTCTCTTCTGGTAGATCCTGTTAACTACAACAAACTGTTTCCCACATGCACTGGTGTGAATGAAGTTGGTCAGCATTGCTGCCTCCCAGCAATAGACTGATTGAACCCACAGTCGAGGCCTTTCCATGTGAAGTTTGCATGTTCTCCTCATGCACATCTGTTTGTAGCATTAGCAAAAATATTAGATTTTAATGAAATTTGCATAAAGTAATCACTGGATGTACATCTACAACTGAAAAAACTTTTCGAATTAATCACTCAGAATGGCACCCACAGCTGAGTAACATTAAAAAAGAAGCRGCTAWAGCTCAAATGTACAGCTAYTGAGCTAAAACTCAATGTATTAGTWGCTTAGAGTCATTCTCAAYATAAACTCTGAGCCCTACACAATGAATAAGATCTTTGCTTAAAATGTTTCAATTAAATGATGGCATCAACACTGTTTATCTGTTGGCAAAATATCTAATTCAACACCAAACTGATTTTAATGAACCTCTCAGAAAGTAATCCTTCATGTGCATTTACAACAGAATCAGTAACTCTAAATTGTCCCTAAATGAGAGTAAGAATTGATGTCTATAAATGTGGCCCTGTGACGGACCTGTGATCTGCCCAGGAAGTACCCTGCCTCTCATCCAACGACCTGTGGAGATCAGCAGCAACTCCTCAAACCAAACAGAAACAAGCGGTCAAATAAAATGGATGGTGGATGAAAGTTCAAGCGTATTAAATCTGCAGCGATCAACATTCGAGATGCTTTTAATGTAAAACTGATTTAAATGAAAGATCTTGTAAATATGTGTTTTTAATTTTTCATTTATTTACTGAAAATACTAAACAGTCAATAATTCATCATTAGCAATATCAATGTTTCCTTATGCACAAAGAGTGACACTAAATAAATAAAATTTGCAATAAAAATATTTACATATTACAATTTCTTATATTGTCTTGCTTTGTTTTACAGCTGTAGCTCAGTTCTGAGCCTTATCTTATACATCACAGGGTAATGGGATTTTTTTAAACCGAGGTTAAAATTCTTGTATTCTTTTTCAAAAACACAAGTGAATAGCAAGCATTTCTTACTTAAATAGTTGAGGGAATTCAAACCAAAATAAGAAGAGCACTTGGGTTTTCTCCAACACACCCACCTTACAGTTTAACCCCTTGTTTGTCAGAAAACAGAAATAGCTGACAATCCCTTGCTTCACACTGTAAATATATATTTGTCATAAGAAAACATAAACCACCATGAMATTGTGGGCTACCCTTCCAAAAATAATAAATACAAATACACTAAAGCTGTGATGCAATTGTAACTGTGACTGACATTTACAATTACATGACAGAAATTAAAGTGTGTAATTTTTTTTTGCTAAAACCATACATGCCTGCTTTAAGACTTGCTGCAATGAACTTTTAGTTAACAGCTAGCGTAAAATTACACCTCATCACAGCTTGGATCTCAGCTCTGAACACATTTTTTTATAAAATGCAGCCGTACATCACCATCAGTCATCATCGTCTTAAAAACCCACCATGGGATTAAAGTCTTATGGCTGTGTGGGAGCCTGCTGCGGGGTATTTGCAGGTACGGACTGCAGACTGATCCTCAGAGGGGTAGTTACAGCGACCATGTCACAGACCGTCCATCATAGATAAAAGATCTTCTCCTTTGCTGCTGGAACAGGGAGAGTGATCTTCAGCCTCAGTGAATTCCCCCATGATCTTGGCCAGCTCTGCGTTGGTCTGCTGGTCCTAAAAGACAYGATCAACCAGCTGCTAAGTTGGAGAGGTAATCGCAAAGACTTGCATCCTATTACAGTAAATCCTTTTAAAATAGGCATATCCTCAGATTCCGGATCATTAACTGCTCGTCTGTCTCATGGGTTTCTTGTAAGAGGTAAAATAGAGCCTTTGAGGTTGACACGTTAGGGTTATTACATGTTTATTACAACTTGGGCTAAAAACAGCCTATCCCAAGGGCCTCACGAAATATCTTCTCAAGTTTCTGTAGCTATGATTAAAACAAAACAGTCTTTTGTTGAGCAGGGCAAAGTCAGTTATTTTTTTTTATTACAGGATTTTTAGTARTTTAATCTGTTGTAAAGTTCAGACTAATATAAAACAAACACTACATGTGATTTTTAGTAAAATGTTCTTATTATAACCCGTCATTATGTTTTCGTACTGTTTTTTTTTTTTTGTTCAGTGATTTTTGGTCAACCGTAGCACAAAAACGGCTGCACCAATCAGCATGAAATTTGGCAGGAATGTAGATGGGTCTGACCTACACTGCGCCAGTCAACGGTTTGACGATAGACCCCATATTTGAGGAGGGGACTCCATCCAAAGAGGGGGTGTCTGGACATGCAAAAATGCTTATAACTCAGAAACTGTTCAACATAGGAGCTTCACCTCCCGGACCCCCAATTTATCTGAAAAAGGGGTATCTGGACATACAAAAATGGTTATTGGTCAAAAACTATTAAACATACGAGCTTCAGATTTTCATTGGTTGTTTAGCTCTGATGAGGGGCTATCCGTCAGATCTAATGTCCCTYGCCAAAAAAAAAAAAAAAGACTCCCACCCAAACCACTACAATTTTGGGATGCACCTAGTACTATGACATTTACTGTATTAGGAATAAAGACTTCTGAGTTCTGGTGCATTTGTGTGTGTGGGTGTCATTATGTTACCGCTGTGAGGTTTCTTAGTTTTTTACCTTTGTTGCTTGGATGTTTATGACTCCATATGAAAGCTCGTCCGGTCTTGATATAAATGCTTCTCTGTCATAAAAATGTCAAAATGTTAGTTTTAATCCATTTAAATAGATTATAACATATTTATTTTTCACCCAGGTAAGTTTAATTTGTTTAGAAGCTGTACACCACGTCAGGACACTTACTCTTCTTCTTCATCTGTGGCAAAGAGGTTTACTCGAAAGCCACTTTCTGCATTTCCTGCTTTCTCAACTTCTAGGCCTCCCATTAACCTGGCCAACAGGTTTAGTTCCTCTTTGGCCAAGGGATTTGGAGCAGCGCTGACCTGTAGACAAAAAAAAAAAAGCCTTGTTCACTTCAGCAAATTTGTAGTTTAACTTGCCCTTTCTTAAGTTTTCGTACCTGATGATGAAAAAGTGAGTTTACGATAGTGTTTCAAACCTTCCCCTACCTACTGTAAGCTAGGTTCTGTAAGCACTGCATGAATGCTACTACTATCAGAAACCTTGACCATGTTTTTTATGSTTTAAAAATGAATCATGTTCTACCTTTGTGTGCTGAGCAGAGGTTTTAGACGTGCCAGACATGTGTGTTTCAACAGGGCGGCATACACTGTACCTAGATGAAAAGACATGTCAGTAAGATCAAAACATGTACATAATTTATTTACATGACAGCACAAACGAGACTAATAAGGAGACTAAGTCAAATGTAGYGCTTGATATGGTCTAACAGTAATCCTTCATTTTTCTATGAGAATTCATACTCGCTCGATAAGAACAAAATCATTTATCCAACTTTGTAATGAGGAAGATGGCTACATGCTCAGACCAATTTTCAGTCTTTAACTACAAAATCATCTTGGTCTGGATGATTATCTATAATTAACTCATTAGGCTGTCACAATTAATCACAAAACAGAGCACAAAAATATCTAATCATGTCCGCACAAAATTTAGTTCCATTTTCTTACATGTTTGTGCCCAGTTTTGTGACCCTGTCTCCGAAAATCTCAAAAGATCCTTCTCGAAGTGCCGATGTGTAGTTCCCTCCATTGCTGAACTGCAGCCTGGTTAGCTCCTCACCAGTACAATTAAAAATCCTAAAATTAGACAAAACACACAGCAGAGCAATTTAGATAAGAAGGCTTTTTGACATAAAGTTTGCATTTGCAGAGAAAGACCTAACTGCTGAGGCTTAAGCGTAAACGTTTCATTGGAGATAACGTTTAGGTCATGGATGAAACGCTTTGGTGAGCAAATGCAATCATTCGAACAAGGACTCAACATAAACCCACAAATGATATAAAATGACTGGTTTAATGCTGGTTCAGTAAAACTGTATGCAGTTAGCTGCAGAGAGGCCATGTTAGCATCATATTATAGTGTTCAGGTAGCATAGCTAACAGGCTACATGACAAACAAGGGACCCAAGAGCAAAGATTGATGTGTTACCTTATTAAGCCAGGAACCTGTGTCCCATGAGGCACAGGACCACTGGTGGGGAGCACAAACCGGCCATTTGAGTTCTGCACTTTATCTTTCAGGAATATAGACACCTGACAGAAAATAACACAATAAAAYATGATAACAAAATCAGTTATCTAACAGTTACCACTCTCTAATAATAATATGCTGAACTTACCCTTATATGCATGTCTTGAAAGAAGATGAGAAGTGTTTGTCTGATCAGTTGGAACTCACCATTAGACAAAGGTGTATACATCTGAGAAAGATCAGATTTTTTGTTGTACTGTGGCATGTATTAGGACTTTATAGACTAATTGGTGATACAAATACAGTTCTGTAAATCCTGCCTGAGGACCAGCAGGGATCAGCAATGAGTCACCTGCTCTGTGAGTCTTACATAACTAAAAAAAAAAATTCTTAATCATCCTGAGTTTCTTTCCTTTAACTGATTGTTTCTAAAATTATGCACGTTTTAACTGTTTTAAAAAGAGATTGTGTCACARTGCAAAAACAACAACAGGGTACGTAAAATATATCAGTCACAAATTATAATGATGAAAGCCCATGTTTTGTTTTTTAGGTTTTTACCTCTATGAGCTGTTGGTAAGTCTCGTCAACCAGGCTGAGAATGCCGGCTGTGTCTTTCACAAAGTCTTTGATTGCATCCATGTGGTTAAAGGAGACCAGCAGGATGTCCTTTGGTCGAGGACACAGAAGCACTTGGTATTTAAAAGCCATGGTCATCAGGTCATAAAGCTGTGCAAAAGAATAGATATGCAATCTCACTTTCTCATTTAATAAAAATATGCATTAAAAAAACAGCATTTAGTTATTGTATAATCAACAGTAGAGGGAGCCACAAACAGGGTGTAAAAGTGTTAGCTCAAAGCAGTTTTGCTGCACAATAGTTAGTTGGAAGAAAAAAAGGCWACATGACTGCATAGATTTAAGTGATACAGATAACTAATGCTCAAATACTAAAGTGTCTGCAATGAAAAGGTAGTAAAGCTTGTATATGCTTGTTGATGAAGAAATGTGATGAGTAAAAAATACAAAASAAAGCAAAACAAAAAMCCCTGAGCCTTACCTTGTCCATACTAGCTTGATTGAGTCTCATTATGGAAGCGTGAGCCAGCCTGTCAAACACAGTCCGCAGGGCCTTTTTGGAGTAAAGCTCCTGTGGCTTGAAAAGCTCCTCCAGAAACTTTTTGTTGAACATGGTGGTGATGATGTCATTCATAACTAGTCAAAACAACAGAAAGTCCACAAAGAAGTGGTTTAAGTTGAATAAATATTCATTTAACAGAATAGATTTAGAAGCAGAATGCTCTCTATCTATCTATTCTACAGATTTGCCAAAACCCTTCCAGGATTTAACCCCACAGGACGTAAAGAAGCAGCAGCATGTCCACCGAGCTACCACAGCCCCACGAATACTTATCAGTTTAAGTAATGGCAAAATAAAATGCATGAGCTACTGTTGTAAAGTAAAAGCACACACCGGGAGAAGTTCTATGTGACGTTCATGTTTGTGTCCAATTTTGTGAGATTAATGTGACTCACTTATGTGATTGGTGCAAAAACCATCACAGGGYCTTACCTCTGAGCTAATCTGAGCAGGAGGTATTGCTGGTTCATAAAAAACACTGTTGTTCAAATAGTGTGTTACTTTCCAGCTATAGGCCAAAGCAGAGCATAGAGCTACTAATGCACAAGTGCATGATTATACTGAATCTTGTACTAATACCTCTCCTTCTGTCCTCCTCTATCCAGGTGGCTACTGTGGAATCTCTATGCACTAAAAGAAGATGCAAAATTAACGTGTGTTCAAAAATCAGACGATTTTTACATCTCAACAGTGTGTGTACTTTATTGTATATAATTCCATGTAAGTTAGTCAGTCAGGCCATCCTTTACACCTTTTTTGAAAGAGCAGGCAGCAGGAATTTGATAAGAAGTAGGTGGTCTAATTAAACTTATTTAAACACTTATTAAATATTAATATTATTAAATATTTAATATTAGACTTATTAAAACAGAACTAACTTACTGAATAATAATAAATCTTGATTTGTCTTCTATCAACTTTTTCTAAATTCATTAAATTTACCAACACTGAGAAAGTAACAAACTGACTAAAGTAAATAAGCCCGTGTAGATTTGAAGTGTTAGCAGAAATAGCTGCTAAGCTAACTACCTTTCTTAGCCTTGTCAGCGGGTATATTCTGAGCTCGAAGCCGCTGGTCCAGGATGTACAGCATTTCGCCGCCTAGATTAATAAAGAGAAGCGGCAGGGTCCTTGTAGACATGATGGTACTTGGGGTGTCGAGTCCTCCCTGGTAACCTGTAGCCGCTAACGGGTAGCTGTACTGGTACCCCTGTCTGTTTGGTAAAGCCTCCTCTGGTTGCCAGGTCACGGAGCGTACGACCAATCACAGCGTAGTGACGTAAAGACGTACCGAGAAAGCGTGTCGTTGACGCCGAAGAACCACATGTGGCTTCTTTGTTTCACACTAAAGTGCACATTCTTACTCAAATTCCACAAATATTCTGCGTTTTTTAAGGCATTGCCTTTACACAGGCAAATACTTTGAAAATGTTTTTGCTAGTGTCTATTTGTTAGCGAAACTATCTGATGAACCACTGGACGGAATTTAACGAAACAAGAAAATATTAATATTGAAATACTGCACAAAAAAAAAATCACAGTAAAAACAATCACCTTGTTTTATTTAATTAAAAACTATGTCAGCAATGTGGTTAAAACTGTTATAACAAAGTGCACACAGATTAAATGCGTAAAAGGCAAAGTAGGAGGATGATTGTCTGAAACTATGAATCCTAGCCAAATGATGAGAATTGTATTGTATTTTTTTGCTCTTCTTGGAAATAAGAACACAACCCCCCCTGACATTCTGTTGTAGTGCTGTGAACCCACAACTAATCAATTTATCATGACTTCAGATCTGTGGTTCACAAACCAAGATTGTGTAATAGCAGTTGCCTCTATGGGTGACAGAGTCTTTTAAGTAACTGATACAAAGTAAGTTTAACTTGCAATTACTACAGATACATCATTTCAAAAGTCACATTTTGAGAGGTGATCAAATCAAATACCTTTACACCTAGAGCAGAGGTGCCCAAACATTTTTCCTGAGAGGGCCAAAATAAAAAAAATCATTTTCCCTTATAGGCCAAAGTTTAAAAAAAATCCCTGAAAGGGCCAAAATTCAAATTCAAGCAAATAATCAGAAACAATACATTTAAGATAACTAATTATTTCATTATAATGCAAGGCTCGATTGTTCTAACCAGTGTTTGGRCAATGCAATTCCTTTACAAGAATTTCACACTGTACATGTGTAAAACTTGTTAGGAACAATTAAAAGCTTAGGAAAAAGTACATGTAGATTTCATCATAAAGCTGCTGTTGAAACCAACAAATCACTGCTGGACGTCCTCAGCTTGAAACGTCTCCATTCCTGATGCGAATTTCTCTTGCCATCCTGCATATTTCACACGGTCCGCAGAAAAATGTCATGAGGGCATCATTGCATATTGTCCCCTGTAGTTATATAAAAAAAAAGGACACCAGATAATCACAAAACAGGAACCAAATTCTCAAAAGAAGAAATGTGTTGCAGTTCAGATTTGTCAATTTTACAGAACACCCAATATTTCTTAAGTTGGGAAATCTCTGTCTCCTCTTAAAAGCTCCAGCATTTCTCTTGTGTACATCAAAACGATAGAGGAAGAGACTCTGCAAACGTACCTGAATACCGTACGTCAGTCTCATGTGAGTCCTCATGGCCGTCATTCCTCCTGGCAAACAGCCCAAGCAGCAGTTTTCTCCATATTTATTTGCTGTGTAACAGCTCAGCGCAATTGGACAGCAAAAACCAACAGCACCTAAAGACGAAGGTATATTCTCATCAGAAGTGTTGACAGAAGAGAGAACATCTTTCTGCAGCTAAACCCTCAACAGTACGTGAACAAGTTATGAGATGGTACTCACAGACCAAACAGTCACTGCAGCAGGAACACAAGCCGGTGCTCCAGTCTCCTGTCTGGACGTTCGTCCCATAGCCGCCTGCACCAGGCTGATGAGTGACCACTGGGTTTGACATCTGGATCACTTGACCTGCCGGCTTTTATTGAGCTGTCTGGTAAAGAACACATTAAGCTGTTAATACTGACATAAGAGAGGGCATTGTTTTGTTGGTGGGAGGAGGGATGACCAAAAAATCGTTCTAAGCATGCAATAAAACTAAGGACAGAATAAAGATACTTTAATGCTCATTAAAATGTAATTCATGTTAGTCGTAACCAGACTTTTTTTGAGATTTTACTAGATGATTTAAGTTTTATTTCTCTAACATTAAACTTTGAAGTTAAAGGACTCTTCTTGCATAATCATTTTATTTAGTTTTAAATGCCAATTAATAAGATATACCCATATTTACAGAAAAAAATTCTGTATAAGAATCCAGTCTTACCCTCCACTGTTATGTTCATTTAGGCAATCATTTTATTAAAAAGCTTACAGATTTTCCATGAAATATTTTACATCCAACACTAGCAGATCAAATTGACTTGCATAAGCGTGCTTTTTAATAGGTCTAGTAAATGTCAGCTAGAAAAGAAACATCGTGAAGCCACGTGGAGAATCTGTTGCCTAAAGTGACATAAAACCCAACATGAAGGGATATTACCTAAAGGTTTGCAAGTTTGACCCGTTTCATTAAAATACCAGTGCATTTTTAAGCTGATCTATTGCCAGAGAGAAAAAAAAAAACAGATGTCACTTACCAGAAGTGTCTGAGAGTCTGAACTCCTCTCGATCAAGCTGACAAGCACCACACCACACAGGAAACTGTGACGAACTCAAGCTGTGAAGCGCTGGTTTGCCATCAAACTGCTGCTTCTCAGGATGACAAAGATCTGTTCTGATTCAAACCGGGTCATTTAACAAGAACTCCTGCCTTACTCATAGGCTGCTGACGCTTACAGGTAAACCAATGCACGATACTGGGTTTAGTTTTAATGAAGTTTTCTAATCTTGCATCAGGTACACACTGTTCAGGAAACTTGTGCACTTGTGAGAATCGTTAAAGCCACACTCTTCGTGTAACGCCCACAAATGCATCATGTCCCTTTTCACAGGGCTWGTGGTTTTAATCTACCATCATAGTACGACAGTTTGTAAAACAAGATTTGGATTCGCTCATGATCTGAAACAGGGCAAAGTTGCAAGCAGCTGCAAAAACTCGTTCTTGATTTCTTCTAAAAAAACGTATAGCATTAATATTCATGCAACTAAAATACACACAGGTGACGCATTTGTTTTAAAGGACTGAGCTGCTTGAAACTAAACTGAAATATCACAAGCATATGCCTCAAATGTGGTCAAACAGGTGATACTTTTGAATGTATTGTTTTATGTCCTGGAATGTGCAACACATAACCACATTATTCTTCTTTTTTTCAGGCGATAGTAGGTTCAGTCTTGTTTGGGTGTCCATATTGCTCACACGTCTTGTATTATTTTGTATAACTGATTGGTCTAAAAGACATTTAAAGTGCCTGTGACATGCCTATCCTTCAAATACAAAACGTCAAAGAAAACATCTATAAACTTGTGAAAATTGGCATACAGATTATTTACAGACTATTTTATCAATTTTGTCACATCACTGGCCTATTTTCTTTTGAATTTGGCTCAGCTATAGTGAATCAGGAAGTGACATCAAAGGGGAACTCAATAATAAAATAAACTTTCTGGTTTTTGTTTATTAAAACAAAATTATTTTAACGTTAACTCTCCTTGATAGTGACTCAAACTGAAGGATTTTTAAACATTAAATAATATTCTATCTGATTCTCAGTCAGATTTTAGGAAGATGCGTAGTACCACTACAGCAGCGCTGAAAGTGGTTAATAATTTTATTCATGTTTTGGATAATAAACAACACTGTGCAGCCCTCTTTATTGACTTCCCCAAGCGTTTGATACAGTTAATCATGAGGTTTTATTACAGAGCCTTCACACTATTGGCTTGTCTGAACAAACTTTTTGTTGGTTTGACAACTATCTGAGTCCAATAGATCTCAGTAAGTTCAAGTAGGGGGTTTAGCTTCCTCTTCTCTCCGTATACACAATGGTGTTCCTCAGGGGTCAGTGCTGGGGCCACTTTATATAATATATATATACTTGGTATCGGTAAGTACCTAAACTGAAGTACTCGTACTC